AGCACTTTGGAAGGCCGAGGCGGGCGGATCACCTGAGGTCGGGAGTTTGAGACCAGCCTGACCAACATGGAAAAACCCCGTCTCTACTAAAAAAAAAAAATACAAAATTAGCCGGGCATGGTGGCACACGCCTATAATCCCAGCTACTCGGGAGGTTGAGGGAGGAGAATCACTTGAACCTGGGAGACGGAGGTTGCAGTGAGCTGAGATTGCACCATTGTGCTCTAGCCTGGGGCACAAGAGCAGAACTCTGTCTCAAGGAAAAAAAAAAAGAGAGAGAAAGCACTTATTTATATAATCCCAGTTACTCAGGAGGCTGAGGCAGGAGAATCATTGCCTGAACTCGGGAGGTGGAGGTCGCATGAGCAGAGATCACGCTATTGCACTCCAGCCTGGGTGACAAGAGTGAGACTCCATCTCAAAAAAAAAAAAAAAAAAGCACCTGTAAGGTTTATACAAAAAATATATAAATAAGACTTATATATAAATAAAACCTTAAATACCACAAGTGGCTCCTTTTAGTGCTAGTGGTGGTTAGTTCACTGGTTTCAAACATGGCGACAATTTTCAAAGCTTTCTGCTATTGGGAGAAGCCACAAGTACAGATGAAAATGCCGCTAAAGAATTTCTAGCAGTGATACAGAAGTTAATTGGAGAAGGCTATACATTGAATCAAATATTCAATTTTGATTAAACAGTATCTATTACAAATGCATGCCTCAAAGGAAATACGTTCAAAGGAGAAAAAATGTGCCCCAGGATTTAAGACTGCAAAAGATAAAAAATTTTACATAACCTTCCTTCCACAACTTTACAATAACTCATGAGATGCATTTCTTCCAACACCCACTTCCACAAGCAAACTTCAGGTCTTGTCAAGGTAAAGTGCCATATTTATTGTAGTATGTATTTATGTATTTATTTACTTATTTTTTGAGATGGAATCTCATTCTGTCGCCCAGGCTGGGGTCCAGTGGAACGAGCTCAGCTCACTGCAAGCTCCACCTCCCAGGTTCATGCCATTCTCTCACCTCAGTCTCCCAAGTAGCTGGGGCTACAGGCACCCGCCACCACGCCTAGCTAATTTAGTTTTTGTATTTTTAGTAGAGACGGGGTTTCACCGTGTTAGCCAGGATGGCCTCAATCTCCTGACCTCGTGACCCACCCACCTCAGCCTCCCAAAGTGCTGGGATTACAGGCGTGAGCCACTGTGCCCCGCCTGTAGTATTTATTTATTTCTTAACCACTTAACATGAATAAAGCAGTGTTACTGTTTTATTAGGTTTCCATTATTTTTAATGTGTCACTGACAACATTTTAAGTGTTGTCTCAACCCCATTTTCTCCTTAAGTTATGTGGTTTTTATTCTATCCTTTTACATAGTACAGTGATTTTTAGGAATGTATGTCATGTTAAAGTCAAACTGATTGTAACTTTACCTTGTAAAACGACTTGGTTTCCTACTCTCTAAAGCTACCTAAAAGCAGAGGACAAACTGTCCTTTGGATCCTTTTGGATCCAGGGGTAAGAAGTATGACTTGCCTGTGGTGGATGTCACTCAAGCCTTTGCAAGAATCCACTGTGATGATAGTATAGGAATACAGGACATCTCCTCCCTCTGGGGGCTCCCAGCAGTCAAAGATCCCAGCCATTGTCAGCAGCCTCCAGTTGTCCCAGACTTTCTCCCAGTTCTCAGGACTATCTGCAGCACCAGTGCTACCTGACTGGAAGCAAAATATATGGGCAGATTAGATGCACTCAGCAGACTTCTTCTACATGCAGGTTGGGTACTACTTCAGACTCGAGAGCATGGAAATCATTTTAAAAGTAATTCAGCCCATGTCTTACTAACCCCTCTGTCACCAAAGGAAAGAAGGTTGGTGGCAAATGCCAACTGAAGTTATAGATTCATGGCTCTTTAATACTTTCAGAATTTAACACCTTCACTGGACATTTAGGCCTTCCGTGAACTGACTCACCATTCTAGCTATCACTCACATTGTTAATTTGAACCCAAACCAGCTGTTGGTAAATGAAGCTCTCATGAAATTTCATGCTCCTGTGTCTTGCTGAAGCAATCTTCCTCTGCCCAAAATGTCCTTCCCACCCTTTCTTAATTGAATTGAATTTCATGCCAATTCCTACTTGCCGTTCAAAACTCAATTCAAGGCCTAAAATGTAGAAAGCTGGAAAGAACATCACTTCTATTCTAACAATAAGAAAAAAGCTGGATAATATGCAAAATCATAACTTTTCTTAAACTCATCAGAGAGGTGAGGTCGATCAATTTTCCTGAAATTTAAGAAAAGACAGGGTCCTCCAAGGGGCAATGGGACACAAGTACTGGCTTATTGGCAGCAACAGGAGGAAGACACAAGCCTTCGTACAAGCCGGTAAGAATTCAGATAATGTTATCATCACATTTCTACAAGCAGCGTATGGGCTGGTAGGATAGTACAGAATCCCTGGGAGCTGCAAACCTCAGAGGAGTCTGCACCAGCTCACAGGCTCTTCTTCTTGGATGTTGCCAGTGCTCGAAAAAGACTGGGGACAGGGAAGGAGCCTGGAGGAAGCCATCCTCACTGTTGCATATCTTAAAGTCAAGCTCCCTTGCCTCACCTAATCACTTTTCCCTAAGGAGCAAAAGTCTTAAGCTGCCAGGGAAAGGGTAATAATCCCTTTCACGTCTAGGATACAGGTAAAGACCCACAGAGGCTGGGGAAGGAGAGAAAGAAAAAGCCCCCTACGCCCTGGGGAAGACTAAGTCATAGAGCCAGGTCTGCCTAAGACAGACTGAACGGAGAACTGCCTCCACCTCTGTTTAGATGACAAACATTAAGTGACAAGCAGAAGCAGTCTACTTCTGGAAGAGGGAAAAGGGCACAAGAAAGACCCTGTCTAAGGCACAAGATTACAGGAAAATCAAACAACTGAAGAGAGCAGGGCTGCTGAGAAACCCTCTGGAAAGTCAATCCTTACCCTAAACAATGGGTAACACCAGAGCCCTTGAAAGCCTGTGATCAAACAAAGGCACTGTAATGACAACAAAGCCCAAACCCAGTTCAATTCCTGACAAGACAGACTTAACCTCATATATTAATGGCCTAATAAAAGAATTTCCAGACATATTATTAATCTCAGTCTCTGTTCTACATATCATCTCTGGCAACAATAAAAAATTACAAGACACACAAAAAAAGCTAAAGCAATCAACCACCAAGAGATATACAAACTAATAGAACCAGATTCAAGAGGTTACATTTCCCAGATGCTAAAATTATCAGAGAACTTGAAGTAAAATTAATGTCAAAGACTCTTGTGGAAAAGGTGGACAACATACATGAACAGATAAGGAATTTTAGCAGAGAGACAGAAACTATAAGAAAGACTCAGTGAACTTAAAGATAGGTCAATAATGGCCAGGCGCAGTGGCTCATGCCTGTAATCCCAGCACTCTGGGAGGTCAGGCATTCAAGACCCGCCTGGCCAACATGAAACCCTGTCTTTACTAAAAATACAAAAAAAAAATTAGCCAGGCATGGTGGTGTGTGCCTGTAATCCCAGCTACTTGGGAGGCTGAGGCAGAATTGTTTGAACCTGGGAAGCAGGGGTTGCAGTGAGCCAAGATTGCACCACTGTACTCCAGCTTGGGTGACAGAGCGAGACTTCATCTCAAAAAAAAAAAAAAAAAAAAAAAAGTCAATGAAAATTAGCCAAACTGAAACAGAGAAAAAAAGAAAGAAAAATGGAGAGAATATCCAAGAACGATGGGACAATTAAATCATCTAACACGTGTCATTAGAATCCCAGAAAGAGAAAATCAGGCAGAAGAAATATTTGAAGAAGAAAAAGCCAATAGATTTCCATAAATTATGAAAGATATCAAACTGCAGATCCAAGCAGCAAAGAGAATAGGCCAAAACACGTACAATGTATTCAAACAGCTGCCCTAAGAGAAAATCTTAAAGGCAGGGGTGGAGGGGAAGGCGGTGAGAGAAGCACACATTTATGCATTACATACAAAAGAAAAAAGACAGTTATACACTAGACTTCTCAAAAGAAACTATGAGAGCCAGAGACAATGAAGTGTATTTTTTTGCAGGACTGAAAGAAAACGAAACACCACTAACCCAGAATCTTATACACAGTGAAAAATACCTCTCAAAAACAAAGACAGTGGTTGCCAGGGGTTAAAGACAGGGAGGTATGGAAAGTGACTACTAATGGGTATGGTTTTATTTGGGGTTGATAACAGTATTGTGGAATTAGTGATGATGGCTGCAAAACATTTTGTGGGTTTTTTTTTTTTTTTGACAGGGTCTCGCTCTGTCACCCAGGGTGGAGTGTAGTGGTGTGATCTCTGCTCACTGCAACTTCGACCTCCTAAGCGCACGTGATATTCCCACCTCAGTCTCCCAAGTAGCTGGGACCACAGGCATGAGCCACCATGCATGGCTAATTTTACAGGTGTGACCCACCATGCCTGGCCAAGGTTTTGAATATACTAAAAACCACTGTACATTTTAAAAGGGTGAATTTTATTATATGTGAATTATATCTCAATAAAAAGCATCATGATGACTTTTTAAAAATAAATAGATACTTTTTCAGACAAAAAAAAAAAATCAGAATTCATTACCAGCAGAGCCACACCACAAGAAAACTTAAAGTCCTTCAGGCAGAAGGACTGTAATACCAGAGAGAAAACTGGATCTATACAAATAAGTGGAGATCCATGAAAATGGCTAAAATGAAGGTACATGTACAAAGACTTTTATTTTTTACCACTCTAAAACATAACTGACCATCTACAGTAAAATAATAGCAATGTATTTTAAGTTTATAGCATATATAAAAATAAAATGCATAACCGTAGCCCGAAAGACAGGAGGAACTGGGAGAATACTGTTGTAAGGTCTTTTCAATGGTAGTGTAGTGTATAAAGACAGAATATTATTAACTTAAAATGTATACTGTAAGCTGTAGGGCAACTACTAAAAACATTTTTAAGAGGTAAAAATAGGCCGGGCGCGGTGGCTCAAGCCTGTAATCCCAGCACTTTGGGAGGCCGAGACGGGCGGATCACAAGGTCAGGAGATCGAGACCAACCTGGCTATCATGGTGAAACCCCATCTCTACTAAAAAATACAAAAAAACTAGCTGGGCGAGGTGGCGGGCACCTGTAGTCCCAGATACTCGGGAGGCTGAGGCAGGAGAATGGCGTAAACCCGGCAGGTGGAGCTTGCAGTGAGCTGAGATCCGGCCACTGCACTCCAGCCTGGGCTACAGAGCGAGACTCCGTCTAAAAAAAAAAAAAAAAAAAAAAAAAAGAGGTAAAAAGAGGTAAAAATAATAAGCCAATAATGGAGACGAAATGCAATGTTAAAAGATTATTCCAAAAACAGAAAGATCAGGAGAAAAGGAACAAAGAGTTGATGGAACAAATAGAAAACTAGCAAAACAATGGATTTTAACCCAATCACATCAATAATTACACATTAAATTAAATGTTCTAAACACAAATTAAAAGTATGATTGTCAGACTGAATCAAAAAGGAAAACCCAACTATCTGTAGTGTAAAAATTAAGTTCAAGGCCAGGCACAGTGGCTCATGCCTGTAATCCCAGCACTTGGTGGGTGCTGAGGCAGGTGGATCACCTGAGGTCAGGAGTTAGAGAACAGCCTGGTTAACATGGTGAAACCCTGCCTCTACTAAAAATACAAAAATTAGCTGGGCAAGGTGGTGCCCACCTGTAATCCCAGCTATTCAGGAGGCCGAGGCAGAATCACTTGAACCCAGGAGGTGGAGGTTGCAGTGAGCTGAGACCACACCATTGCACTCCATCCTGGGCAACAAGAGTGAAACTCTGTCTCAAAAAAAAAAAAAAAAAAAAAAAAAAAAAGAATTAATGTATATTAAGCTAATATACATTAAGTTCCTAGACAGAGTAACTGACTTGTAGTAAGTGCTTAATATTTGCTATTATAATTGACAGATTTTTTATAAATTAATCTTGTCTTGTACCAAATCATTTGTGTGTTACTAGATTGGCTAGACAGGGGATTTTCTTTTTTAATTTACATTTCAATAGGTTTCTGGGGAACAGGTGGTATCTGGTTATATGAATAAATTCTTTAGTGGTGACTTCTGAGATTTTGGTGCACCCATCACTGATAGGGGATTTTCTGAGGGTGAAGCAAACTCTCTTGACTACTGAAACTGTGCCCCAGGAGTTAAAAACAAACAAACAAACAACAACAACAAAAAAACACCAATGACTAAATTCTTGGGCTTATAGGATAGCACATGAGAAAAGAAACAACTTGCTGAAACAGTGAAATTCCCTTCGCCTGTAAGATAACAAAACTCGCTGAATTGGTTGGAACCAATATAACTGACTAGAGTATATGCAAAACAAGCTTGCTTATATCACAGCCTGAATTTCCACCACGTTTCATACTAACTCCCCCTGAATTTGCACATGAGACCTATATGGAGGCAGGAAGAGATAACTGCACATACCTGAAGACTTTCCAGGCCTCCCTTTTCCTTCCACCAATCACCTACTAATCCTAGAATCCATTCTCTAAACTTTTTTTTAATTAAAGTACTGCCTTAAAGTCAGCAAGGGAGACAGAGAGGAGCTGGACTCCTATCTTCTTGTTAATCGACTTGCAATAAAAAACTTTTCTGGCTGGGCGCGGTGGCTCAAGCCTGTAATCCCAGCACTTTGGGAGGCCGAGACGGGCGGATCACAAGGTCAGGAGATCGAGACCATCCTGGCGAACACGGTGAAACCCCGTCTCTACTAAAAAGTACAAAAAAACTAGCTGGGCGAGGTGGCGGGCGCCTGTAGTCCCCGCTACTCGGGAGGCTGAGGCAGGAGAATGGCGTAAACCTGGGAGGCGGAGCTTGCAGTGAGCTGAGATCCGGCCACTGCACTCCAGCCTGGGCAACAGAGTGAGACTCTGTCTCAAAAACAAAAAACAAAAAACAAAAAACAAAAAAAAAACTTTTCTCTGTTACCCAGGCTGGAGTGCAGTGGTGCAATCTCAGCTCACTGCAACCTCCACCTGCTACCCCAGGCTCAAGCTATCATCCCACCTCAGCCTGCCAAGTAGCTGGGACCAGCTACTCAGTGTCATGGTATTGGCTTCTAGCACATTGGGTAGCAAGTCCCTTTTACTCGGTAACACTATTTCCAGTCCTCAAAATGAGATGACAGGTGAACAAACAATTCCCAATTTTAACAAGCAAACTGCTAAGAACTCAGGTGTTTTAGCAGTGTCAGACTAAATAATCTAATTAAAAATAAAACATGAGGTTGGCATGTCTGATTTGTTTGCAATCTCCTGATAATGTTTTAACATGAATAGCTCAAATTATATCTTACAGTGAAAGAGTTTTTGTTTTGTTTTTGAGATGGCGTCTCACTCTGTCACTCAGGCTGGAGTACAGTGGCACGATCTTGGCTCACTGCAACCTCCACCTCCTGGGCTCAAGTCATCTTCCCAGCTCAGCCTCCCAAATAGCTGAGACCATGCCTGGCTAAGTTTTTGTATTTTTGGTAGAGATGGGTTTTAGCCATGTTGCCCAGATTGATCTTGAACTCCTGAGCTTAAGCAATCCACCTGCTTTGGCCTCCTAAAGTGCTGGGATTACAGGCATGAGCCACCCACCTGGCCTGAACCACTGCACCCAGCCACAGTGAAAGTTTTATGAGGGAAACATAGAGTTATGATATGACCTAGCAATTCCATTCCTAGGCATCTATCCAAGAGAGATGAAAACATGTATCCATGCAAAAACTTGTAAATGAATGTTCATAGCAGCATTATTCATAATAACCAAAAAGTAGAAATAATCCAAGTGTCTATCAACTGATGAATGAATTAACAAAATGTGGTATATCTTTACAAAAAGGAATGAAGTGCTGATCCATGCCAAACATGGATGAATCTTAGAAACATTATGCTAAATCAAAGAAGCCAGTCACAAAAGACCACATAGTCTACGATTCCATTTTTATGTAATGTCCAAAATAGGCAAATCCATAGAGATGGAAAGTAGATTGGTGTTTGACAGGGGCTGGGCATAGTGGAGAATGAAGAGTGATTGCTAATGGATATGGAGTTTCCTTCTAGAGACAAAAATATTCTAAAAATAGAGGTAATAATTGCATACTTTGAATATACTAAAACATTCCTGAATTGCACATTTTAAAAAGGTGAATTTTATGGTAAATTATCTCTCAACGAGCTCATTTCATTTCACTTTATTTTGACAAACTCTTTCTCTGTCACCCAAACTCTTTCTCTGTCTATGCAGTGGTGTGACCATAGCTCATTGCAGCCTCTATCTCATGGGTTCAAGCGATCCTCCCACCTCAGCCTTCCAAGTAGCTGGGACTACAGGTGCACGCCACCATGCCCAACTAGTTTTATATTGTTTGTAGAAACGGGGTTTCGCCATGTTGACCAGGCTGGTCTCAAACTCCTGGGCTCAAGCAATCTTCCCATCTTGGGCTCCCAAAGTACTGGGATCACAGGCATGAGTCACCGTACTGGGCTAAAGCTGTTATTTTAAAACAAATAAATAAAACTACGAGGAAAGAAAAAAATGTCCTTTGATTAATTTGTTTCCCTGTGCCTTTCCAAATATATATTGTGAATGCTGATAATAATACCTTCTCTGTCTTGATTTGAGGAAAATAGATGAAGTATGGCTGCCTCTGGTTTGTTCCTTGACATCGCTGCCACTCATAGAATCCATCTGCTAAAACGACACAGCGTCTTCCCTTTCCCAGAGGCACCTGAGGGAAAATGTGAGCAAGATATGGTCTTAGTAATACAATCATGTTTCATAGACTGCCATTACTTGGCGAACTTGAGTTAAAATCTGAGGTTTGGGCCAGGCACGTTGGCTCACAGCTGTAATCCCAACAGTTTGGGAGGCCGAGATGGGAGGATCACTTGAGGTCAGGAGTTTGAGACCAGTCTGGCCAACAAGGTGAAACCCCATTTCTACTAAAAATATAAAAATTAGCTGGGCATGGTGGTGCACACCTGTAGTCCCAGCTACTTGGGAGGCTGAAGCACGAGAATCACTTGAACTTGGGAGGCAGAGGTAGCAGTGAGCCAAGATCGTGCCACTGCACTCCAGCCTGGGTGAAAGAATGAGACTCCATCTCAAAATAAATAAAAAAAACAAACAAATAAATACATAAAATCTGAGGTCAGCCAATGTATGACCTTAAAACAGTTATTTAATTTCTCTGTACCTCTCTTATGTATAAAGAAAGTCATAACTCACACAGATGTTGAAAAGATTAAATAATGTACATAAAAGCAATCACCTCTTTTCTAACAAATAGGTACTTGTGATAGCTAGTCTTCAAAGGTGCCTTCCCAATGAAGCATGCTTCCCAGTATTCACGTTTCATAGACACCTCCCATACTGAATTTGGGCTGGCTCTGTGTAACCCATAGAATGCAACAGAAGTAGGCCAGGATGCTAGCTCACACCTATAATCCCAGCACTTTGGGAGGCCCAGACAGGAGAATCACTTGAGCCCAGGAGTTTGAGACCAGCCTACGCAACATAGCCAGACTTTGTTTCTATTAAAAATAATAATAATAATAATAACAATAATAAAAGAATACAGCATAAGTAATGCTGTATGACTGCCAAGATTAAGTGATGCTATAAGACAAAGCCTTGTATCTTCTGTCCTGCTCTGTTGGATCATGAGCTCTGGGATAAATGAGTCACCATGACAGAAGCCTGGCTACCCTGACACCCTCGAGTTAGGCATGTGGAAAGCCTTCTAGTTGTTCTAGTCATCCCAGCTGAAGTGTCAGATGAGGGTGAAGAAGTCATCTTGGACAAGCAGCCTCAGCTGCCATCTAATTGCAACATGAGAACTTCCAAGTGAAAACTGCCCAGATGAGCCCAGTCAACCCAGAGAATACAGAGATAATGTTTATCATTTTGTTTCACACTACTCTCTGGTGTGGTTTGTTATGTAATAACAAAATAGCATTCCACATTAACAACGGGGAACATTCTTTTTTATGTTATTTATTTTTGGTTGTCCTCTGTAGGCTAGGATGGAAACACCCTTTGGAGCCTTATTTCTCAGGTATACAGGGCACTAATAGCTACCAGCCACCTACCTTAAATGACCGTTTCTCCATTATGGTATCACTACGACAGTTGGTAGTATTGAACTGCAGCTTGGAAGGATCACTTTCTTTGAACCAAGAAGGCACCAAGCCCCAGCGCATGGGAGCAATGATACGCTCAGATGAGTCTGCATCCTGCCACAGAAAGAAGATCTAGTGAGGAGATCATAAAGAAATTCTAATTTAACATACGTATTTACTACATTATTTAGTAGTATTGAAATATAAAGAATTCAAGATTATGGCTGGGCGCGGTGGCTCAAGCCTGTAATCCCAGCACTTTGGGAGGCCGAGACGGGCGGATCACGAGGTCAGGAGATCGAGACCATCCTGGCTAACACGGTGAAACCCTGTCTCTACTACAAAATACAAAAAAAACCTAGCCAGGTGAGGTGGCAGACGCCTGTAGTCCCAGCTACTCGGGAGGCTGAGGCAGGAGAATGGCGTAAACCCAGCAGGCGGAGCTTGCAGTGAGCTGAGATCCGGCTACTGCACTCCAGCCTGGGCTACAAAGCAAGACTCCGTCTCAAAAAAAAAAAAAAAAAAAAAAAGGAATTCAAGATTATTTTTAAAAAGGGAATCTACTTGAAAACAATTTTTTTATTGTTTTTGAGATAAGGTCTGGCTCTGTCATCCAGGCTAGAGCGCAGTGGCGCAATCTTGGCTCAATGCAACCTCTACCTTCCGGGCTCAAGTCATCCTCCCACCTCAGCCTCCCAAGGAGCTGGGACTACAGACACATGCCACCATACCCAGCTAATTTTTGTATTGTTTATAGAGATGGGGTTTTGCTGTGTTGCCCAGGCTGGTCTTGAACTCCTGGGCTCAAGTGATTTGCCAAGTAGCTGGGACTACAGACACACGCTACCATACCCAGCTAATTTTTGTATTATTTATAGAGATGGGGTTTCACTATGTTGCCCAGGCTGGTCTTGAACTCCTGGGCTCAAGTGATTTGCCCACCTTGGCCTCCCAAAGTGTTGGGATTACAGCTGTGAGCCACCACAACCAACCAAAAACAATTTAATGATTTATCATGATGTAGGTAACTTGAGTTTTTTAGCATTCATATTTACCGGAACGTAAGACATTCTGCTTGAATAAGGCAGAGGGATGCAAAGAGGTTTAGTTTCTTTAAACTTTTTTGTTTTTTAGAGACAGGTTTCACTTTGTTGCCCAGCCTGGAGTGCAGTGGCATAATCATAGCTCACTGCAACGTTGAACTCCTGGGCTCAGGTGATCCTCCTGCTTCAGCCTCCCAAGTAGCTGGGACTACAGGTGCACACCACCATGCTCAGCTATTTTGTAGAGATGAGGTCCTACTTTGTTCCTCAGGCAGGTCTCGAATTTTTTTTTTTTTTTTTTTGAGATGGAGTCTTTGATGCCCAGGTTGGAGTGCAGTGGCATGATCTCGGCTCACTGCAACCTCTGCCTCCTGGGTTCAAGCAATTCTCCTGCCTCAGCCTCCCGAGTAGCTGGGACTACAGGTTCCACCACCACGCCTGGCTAATTTTTGCATTTTTACTAAAGACAGGGTTTCACCATACTGGCCAGGCTGTATTGAGCTCCTGACCTTGTGATCCAACCACCTCAGCCTCCCAAAGTGCTGTGATCATAGGCGTGAGTCACCGTGCCTGGTCTGGTCTCGAACTCTTAGGCTCAAGCGATTTTCCTGCCTCGGTCTCTCAAAGCACTGGAGGATGCTATTTTTAGGAAAACCTATATACAAGGTTGGCCCTTGATTAACATCTCAGAACTAGATTTTGAGAGTGTTCTCACCTTTCCCCAACTCATAAGGGTGGTTTATTCTGCCTAGTCTATGTAAACAATAAAGTTTATGCCAAACACCTGTTTTCCTTCTGGGAGTCTGAAATTTTGGTACCTGCTAGGCAGAGTGCCTACATGATCAGCCTCCAGTAAAAACCTTGGACCCTGAGTCTCTAATGGGTTTCTCTGGGCATAAACATTGTACATACTAACCTGGGCAACATGGCAAACTCCTGTTCCTACCAAAAAAAAAAAAAAATTATCCGGGTGTGGTGGCATGCATCTGTAGTTCTAGCTACTTAGAAGGCAGAGGTAGGAGGACCACTTGAGCCTGGGAAGTTGAGGCTGCTAGTGAGCTGTGATTGAGCCGCTGCACTCCAGGACCTGGACCATACAGCAAGACCTTCTCTCAAAAAAAACAAAAAACAAAACAAAACAAAAAAAACACTGTACATACGTTAATACATTTTTCGTTGCTGGAGAAAATGACATGCTTGGAGTATCCTCCCACAGGAAGGAGAACATAAGGAAACCTGTGCATGACTTTTTCCAGATTTCTACTAGTGTCTTTTCCCTTGGCTGATTCTATTCTGTGTCCTTTTACTAATAAACCTTATACACAATATGCCTTATATGCTTAGTCCTTCTAATGAATCTCTAAATATGGGGGCAGTCTTGGGGACTCCCAACGCATGGTTGTCAAATTTTTTTAAAGTAATAGGCCCCTTGATAATTTGATGAAATCTACAGATTAAGAAGCACATACACATTATTCTTCATGGCACAGTACACTCTGGGTTGGGAGAGACCAGTGAGCAGAGAGTGCATTTTGGGGTGTTTCTACAATGGTTCAGGGGTCTGGTGATGGCAGTAAGAAAAACAGTGACATCCAAAAGATTAAAAAAAGAAATTGTAGTACAAATGGATTTGGATGAAAAAAAAGCAGGATGATTAAGTTTTCAAGCCCAGAAGAGTGAAATAATGATGGTACTACTGAACAGAGAAGAAAAAATGCTGATGAAAGGTTTTATGAAGATCATGTGTTAAATTTCTGATACTAGTGAGAAGTCTGTGGCAGTTTTCAAAAAATGGTTGCAAAATCTGACACTCCTCCCATTGAGAGTTGGAAATCTATGTTCATTCCCTGAATCTGAACGGGCTTGTAACCAACAGAATGTGGCACAAGTGATACTATATGATTTATCTCATAGTTATGAAAGCTGGGATTAAGGTGCCAACAGATTTGGTGTCTGGTGAGGGCCCACTTTCTGCTTCACAGATGGTGCCTTCTCACTATGTCATCATCACACGGAGGAAGGGGTGAGCTAGCTCTCTGGGGTGTCTTGTAGAAGGGCACTAATCCCAATCATGAAGGCTCTGATTGGGATCCCAAAGGCCCTACCTCCTAATACCATCATCTTGGGGGTTAGGATTTCAACACACACATTTTTCAAGGACACAAACATTCAAACCATAGCAGCTGTGGTCTAATAAGACTTTATACAAACAGGCAGTAGGCCAGGTTTGGTCTGAGGACCATAGATTGCCAATCTCTGGTATAGAGGAAAGAGCAAGGTTTTGTAAGGAGATCTTGGTTCAAAAATCCTTACTCTGAGCCAGGCATGGTGGCTCACGCCTGTAATCCCAGCACTTTGGGAGGCTGACGTGGGCGGATTACCTGAAGTCAGGAGTTTGAGACCAGCCTGGCGAATGTGGCGAAACCCCATCTTTCCTAAAAACACAAAAAGTAGCTGGGTGTGGTGGCATGTGCCTGTAATCCCAGTTACTCAGGAGTCTGAGGCATGAGAATCACTTGAGCTCGGGAGGTGCAGGTTGCATTGAGCTGAGATTGTGCTACTGCACTCTATGACTCTGTGACGGAGAAAACAAAAAAACAAACAAACAACCTTTCTCTGCTACTTATGAGGTTGGACTAGTCTCAATTTCTTGGGCCCTCAACTTTCCTTATCCAAAAAATAGAACAAACAATAATTACCTTGTAGGATAATTTTCAAGAATGAAAGATAATATAGTTAAAATGGGTGGCATGGAGTAGGCACTCAATTGTAGTATAATATTTTTCTAAGGTAAGGATTAAAAACAAATCATAAAATTGTCTATAAAGAGATGACTATTAATGCCATGAAGATAAAGTTTCTTAGAAAGTATATAATGCACAGGATTTAACCAGGGGGTACAAAAATTTTTGTTAAAAGAAGAAATTAGGGTAAAGGTAGAGTTCCAAGTAAAAGTACCTACTAAGATAAAAGTAGAATGAAGAAAGTCAGAAGAGGATGAAATCTGAAGAAAGGAATCATCAGTAGTGGCAGTCTCAGGAGAAGGGCTTCCTTTTGTTTAAAAGCTAATCCCTCCACAGTGTTCCTGATAAAATCCAGTCCTGCTTCTTCCAGAATCCTGCCTGCTGTATCCATTAATTCTCTTTTTTTTTTTGAGATGGAGTCTCACTCTGTTGCCCAGGCTGGAGTGCAGCGGCACGATCTCGGCTCAATGCAACCTCTGCCTCCCAGGTTCAAGTGATTCTCTTGCCTCTGCCTCCCAAGTAGCTGGGATTACAGGCATGTGCCACCACGCCTGGCTAATTTTATATTTTTAGTAGAGACAGGGTTTCACCATGTTGGTCACGCTGGTCTCGAACTCCTGACCTTAAGTGATCTGCCTGTCTCAGCCTCCCAAAGTGCTGGGATTACAGGTGTGAGCCACTGCACCGGTCAACTGTCTTTTCATATATATACACACAAACAGTTGATTCCCATTATTTGCAGCAGTTAGATTTCATAAAGTTGCTTTGAGTATTGAACTGCTTGCTGCTCTTAGGGAAATGCAAGGTTATGTTTCTAACAGCCTCTGGTGACAACACTTTCATCAACTGATCAATGTATGACCTTGTTGTATGTGTGTTTCTGTTTAAAGACATCTAATTTAATCTTACTCTTGATTCGTTTACACCAAATTTAAGACCAAGAGCACTATAACTCATGCCTGACTAAAGTTTATCCAATACATTTTCTCTGTAAGACATATCACGGCCTTCTTTAGCTTGGGAATACCAGCCAGCACTTTAGCACTATGCTTGGGGTCATTTTAAACAGTGAAATTACACATGGCACTAAACTGGCTGCAAAGAAGATACTTGTTTATAACATAAGAGATGAAACAAGAAGGCAGAGCTTTGCCTCAATCAACCTCAGCTGGAAACATCAAGCTACTCAAATTTATCACCTCTCTGTATGTGCACCAACGATTGCAAAAGCAAAGTGAGTATGAATTTAGGGGTTACAAATAAATTTTAGTGAGTAGGTGAATTTGGTAATATGGAATCTAAGAATAATGAGGACTATTTGTGTGTGTTTGTGAGAAAGAAGAGTATCCTCTTTCTCTTCCAGAATCAAATTTGCCTTCTGGCCAGTGGCAGCAGCTCAAGCCTATAATCCTGGCACTCTGGGAGGCCAAGGCAGGAGGATCCCTTGAGCTCAAGAGTTGTTTTTTCTTTATTGAGACGGAGTTTCGCTCTTGTTGTCCAGGCTGGAGTGCAATGGAGCGATCTTGGCTCACTGCAACCTCTGCCTCCCAGGTTCAAGCGATTCTCCTGCCTCAGCCTCCCAAGTAGCTGGGATTACAGGCATGCACCACCACGCCCAGCTAATTTTGTATTTTTAGTAGATACCAGGTTTCTCCATGTTGGTAAGGCTGGTCTTGAACTCCCGACTGCAAGCAATCCACCTGCCTCAGCCTCCCAGTGTCTTGAGACCGACTTGAGCAACATAGTGAGAACTTCCCCCTCAAACTGCCAAAAGGCAAAGCCTGTGATCCCAGTTGTTGGGGAGGTTGAGGCAGCAGGATCGCTTAAGCCCAGGAGGTCAAGGTTGCAGTGAGCCATGATTTATCAGGAGAACCAGCTCCCGATGTTTAACGTGGGTTCTTTTCTATTTCCTAGGTGTTTCGGCTGGGTTGAGAAATAAAGGGAAACAGCACGAGAGAGAAATTTAAAGCTGGGTGTCCGGGGGAGACATCACATGTCGGCAGGATCCGTGATATTTCCCGAGCCGTAAAACCAGCAAGTTTTTATTAGCTATTTTCAAAAGGGGACGGAGTGCACAAATAGGGTGTGGGTCACAGAGATCACATACTTTACAGGGTAATAAAATATCACAAAGCAGATGGAGGCAGGGGGAGATCACAGGACCAACGGATGAGGTGAAATTAAAATTGCTAATGAAGTTTCGGGTATGCATTGTCATTGATAACATCTTATCAAGAAACAGCATTTGAGAGAAGATAACCTGTCTGACCACAATTTATTAGGTGGGAATTTTCTCATCCTAATAAGCCTGGGAGCACTATAGGAGACCGGGGCTTATTTCATCCCTTCGGCTTCGACCATAAAAGATGGGACGCCTTAAAAAGGGGCCAAGGCTGTCTATAGGCCTACCTTCAGGGTGCATTCTCTTTCTCAGGGATGTTCCTTGCTGAGAAAAAGAATTCAGCGATATTTCTCCTATTTGCTTATGAAAGAGGAGCAATATAGCTCTGTTCCATCCGGCTCACCGGCGGCCAGTTCAAAGTTACCTCTCTTGTTCCCTGAACATCACTGTTATCCTGTTTTTTTTTAAGATGCCCAGATTTCATATTGTTCAAACACACATGCTCTAGAATTTGTGCAGCTGATACAATCATAGGGTCCTTAGGCGACATTCATACTCCTCAGTTTACAAAGATGATGGGATTAAGTGATTAAAGTAAAGACAGGCATAGGAAATCACAAGGATATTCACTGGGGAAGTGGTAAGTGTCCATGAAATCTTCACAATTTATGTTCTTCTGCTGCAGCTTCAGCCAGTCCCTCCATTTGGGGTCCCTGACTTCCCGCAACAATGATTGCACCACTGCACTCCAGCCTGTGCAACACAGCAAGTCCCTGTCTCAAAAAAAAAAAAAAAAAAAAAGTCTTCCAAGCAGAAGGACCCCCAACTCAGTGCATAAATGAGAATAAGAGACAACATTACACAATGGCCAACTAAATGATCCTTCATCAGAAATTTGCAAGGTAACAATACGGAAAAATCTGTGGTTCTCAGTACGGGACAACTCTGACACACCCCTCCCCATCATCCACACTTCTGGTGGTATCTGGAGATATCTTTGGTTGTTCTGATCTGGGGGATGCTACTGTGGGGGATGCTACTGACATCTAGCACGTAGAGGATGTTGCTAAACGCTCTACAATGCCCAGAATAGCTCCCTACAACAAAAAATTACCCTGGCCAAAACTGTCAATAGTGTCAAGTTTGAGAATTCTGCTCTCACAAATTCCACTGATCATCTTTGAAAGTGTACACTTGACAACTGTAAACCAAACCCGAATGTGAGAATGACGAATAGAAAGTAGTTGAAAGGCCAAAATACTAAAACGATTGCTCAGTATTAGTCATCTTTCCTCTATCTACCCTTTTGGACTTCTGAACAGAACAGCTGGTAGCACTGGGGTGGATAAATGAAAGAGGAAGTAATTTGCAAATCTGTGGTTTCAAATGAAAATGTTGCAATCTATATACATATGCAGGCTGTTGATGATTTGAATGAACTGCTAAAATGGTTCTAAGTTTGCTTTATAATTTATAGGTTTGAGAAAAATGAGATACCTAATATTATCAAAATTAAGAAACCCTAGCAATCTTAACAAAACTTGTTAGAGATGTGAAATCAAATACTATATCAGCAAATTCACACCACTGGCCCAACTGAGGGCTGTATTTGCTAGGAGCTCCACCTTCCCCATTCCTGGTTCCAGGATGCATCCACTGGAGTGGGGACAGTGGTCTGGATCTCACTTCTAGTTCTGTCCCTCACTGATTATGTAACCTAGGATAAGTCATAATCTTTCTATACTTCTATCTTTACATGTGTTACACAAATTTTTCTTCCAGCTAACTTTCTATAATTCTAAAGAGGTCACATAAATGACTAAGGCTCTTTTTGTTGTTGTTGTTGTTAAAAACAGGGTCTCATTTGCTCAGGCTGGTGTCTTGAAATTCCGGCCTCAAGCAATCCTCTGGCCTCAGCCTCCCCTAAGTGCTAGGATTACAGGCATGAGCCACTAGGCCTAGTCAGGCTCATACACTTAATCCTGCTCTCTATTCTCACTCTATATTATGCTTTCCTTTGAAATATGTTTTATGTTCTCTTTTCCCCTTCAAGATTCTCCAGGATATTTTATTTTGATTCCCCTCTCATTTAAAACAAAAAGTTTCAATAGGGAAGTATACATCCTCTAAAAATGACACAAAAATAACTATTTCATATAAATGGCTTTATTCAACCAAGAACATTAATGTTATTTGATATCCCTTTTTTTTTTTTTTTTGAGACTGAATCACCTAGCCTGGAGTGCAGTGGCACATTCTTGACTCACTGCAATCTCCACAATTTTTTTTTTTTAAGTATAGACAGAGTTTCATCATTTTGGCCAGGCTGATCTCGAACTTCTGACCTCAAGAGATCCCCCCAGTCTCAGCCTCCCAAAATGCTGGGATTACAGGCGTGAGCTACCACACCCAGACGTTATTTGTTATCTTTATTTCTTTTTGAGACAGAGTCTCACTCTGTTGCCCAGGCCGGACAGAGTACAGTGGCGTAATCTTGGCTCACCCCAACCTTCGCCTCCTGGGTTCAAGCGATTCTCCTGCCTCAGCCTCCTGAGTAGCTGAGATTACAGGGGCCCGCCACCACACCCAGCTAATTTTTGTATTTTTAGTAGAAATGGGGTTTCACCATGTTAGCCAGGCTGGTCTCGAACTCCTGACCTCAGGTGATCACCCGTCTTGGCCTCCCAGTGCTGGGATTACAGGCCTGAGCCACCATGCCCAGCCTGTTATCTTTATTTCAAAATGATGTGATACCCTATAATGCAGAAATGAGTCCTTTTTGACTACCATATTATCACAAAAGTTTAAAGAGTATGTACCAGAGGTATAACCAACTTTATAAAGTGATTTCGGCATTATGGATCAAATAGGGTCAAAATTCAGGAAGGAAACAATCACAATTTTTTTTTTTTGAGATGGAGTCTCGCTCTGTTGCCAGGCTGGAGTGCAGTGGCATGATCTCAGCTCACTGCAAACTCCGCCTCCCGGGTTCAAGCGATTCTCCTACCTCAGCCTCCCAAGTAGCTGGGACTACAGGTGCGTGCCATCATACTCAGCTAATTTTTGTATTTTTAGTAGCGACAGGGTTTCACCATGTTGGCCAGGATGGTCTCGATCTCTTGACCTCGTGATCTGCCTGCCTCAGCCTCCCAAAGTGCTGGGATTATAGGCATGGGCCACCGCACCCAGCGAACAATCATGATTTTAAAAAACATGTCAAGGTCATTTAAAATATTTAAGACATAGAGAAACTATTACTTTCTAGAATGAAGCATTTTTATTACGCACACATACACAGACACACATACTTTCAGGAGATAAGGCAAAGAACTAAAACATGAACGTAAGTGACTGGTAATTCCAACACTACGGGGATAAATACTATAAACACAATGAATGCAATTAAACTTCAGATAACCAAACCAAATACATGTTTCTAGCTTTAGTAAAAGACAAACATAAAAATATTGAAAACACAAGCAGAAAGAATAAAACTTTTCAATGTTCAAGAAACATTAGAAGTGTTTTAAATTAACTGATCTTAAGCCTGTCCTGGGCCTAGAAAGTCTGATTAAGCTGGCCTGGTAAGGGGCATAGAAATATTCTTAAATTTTTTATTTTTTCTTTAGGCAGGGTCTTGATCTGTCACCTCGGTGGGAGTGCAGTGGTACAACCATGGCTCATGAAGCCTCGACCTCCACAGCTCAAGTGATCTTCCCACCTCATTTTTTTATTTTTTGTAGAGATGGGGTCTCCCTATGTTGCCCAGGCTGGTCTCAAACTCCTAAGCTCAAGTGATCCTCCCACCTCGGCTTCCGAAAGTGCTGGGGTTACAGGCATGAGCCAGGGCGCCTGGCCTTAAATTTTTTTATTACTATTTTTTTAAGATATTCCAATGACCCTGATGATCAGTGAAAGCTGCTATTTTAAAACACAAAGCTCATATAAATTCGGCATATATTAAGGCTAGTATGCCATGTATAGCAAAGGTATTTAAATTGAGCCTGAAAAATGCTGAAAAATACGTCTTTACCAGTGTTAGAAGCCATTGATAAAACTTCTTTCATGAGGTCTAGAGAGGTTCTCAATGGGAAGTCAGAATATAGCAGTAAACGCTGGTTTTTAATATTATCCCAAGAGGCTGAGCACACACCAAACCAAATAGGAGATAACCATCGCAAGGCTGGGTGAGGGGCTAGCATGGTGCAAAGCTGGTTACCTTCTCAAAGTGCAGTCGAGACAGAAGCACTGGGCTGTTGGACTGAGGACTCTTGTTGTAAGAGGGGCAGTACTTATCAGGGTCCCTCCATTCCGGGAGCCGCTGCTGGCCCCGCCGATCCTGGTAGGCGCAAGCTCTCGTGAGAACATCTCTAGGTAAGTGACAGGATGTTCGCCCACACATTCTTCAACACCGTCCCTCGCAACCTTTAAATTACAAAAGGTAAGGAAAAGGCTTACATATCTCAAATATTAGGTCTTATTCCTTGAGTCCCCGCCTTCTCTTTCCGTTCCCACAGGGCCGTGCCCCTCCGTGACCACAGTCTGAAGTCTTCCCCAAGAAGTCCCACAAGGACAAGGATGTGCCTATTTGCTTCGCTCCCTGAGCTCACTGCCCAACTCCGTGCAGGGCACTGAGGCAAGTCCCCAGAGGAGCTCTGCAAAAGTCTGCCTGAGCGCAGGGAAGAGCCGCAGCGGAGGGGGCTTCACGGTCCAACCAAGCAGGGCAAGCGCAGCTAGCTGGGGTCGCCTCCTCCGGGTGACTCGGTGCCCCCAACTCCCCGTCCTTCCCCCGAGTCCCCGCTGGGGTCAGCGCCCCACGCCTGCCAGCACCCGCTTACCTCGAGGGCGGCCACTGGACGGCCCGGGGCCCGGGTGCAGAATCCCCGCCTCCCGCCCGCAGCGTCCCCGGGCCCGACCCGCGAAACTGGGCCGCGGATCCCGCTCCGGACACTGCTCCCCGGAGCGGGGGCCGGTTTTCGGGGAGCAGGTGGCCCACAGCCACAGGCCGCAATCCCTCGCCCCTCCCCTCCGCTCCGGCCCTCAGACTCCACCGCCCCGAGTTACCTCCACCGCCCCGAGTTACCCCCGAGTTACCTCACTGTGGCCCCGAGTTACGGCCACAGCCCAGGCCGCCCTCTCCGCGTCGCCTCGCGTCCGCTCGGGCCTCCGCTCCCCTCTGTCAACCCGCGTCGCGTCCTTACCCCTCCTCTCCCCTCCCCACACCCCGGCCGCCCGCGTCACCTTCCCTCCCCTCACCTCGCCCCGGCAGCACGCTTCACCTCCCTCAGCTCGCGTCACCTCCTTTGGCTCTCCTCACCGCTTCTCAGCTCCCTTGTGGCCGCCCGCCTCACCGCCCCTCACGTCAGCCCCGCCTCAGCCCGCGCTCCCGGCGCTAGGCCCCGCCCCCTTGGTTCTCTCCGCGCCCTCGGATACCGGAGGCGGCGTCTTCTCCCTTCCGGTTTGGGATGAATCTTTTCCCGTTTCCCCAGGAGACAGTGACTGCCTTGGGGGATGCATCCATCCCAAGCTTCTCGGGACTCCACTTTCTTCCATATCGGCCGTTCCCTGGCGGGGTTAACCTTCCTCCCCGCCCCCAGCGCGCCTCAGGGCCGCCGGCGGGAAGGTTCCCGCCGCCCTGAGTCTAGGGCACAGGGTCATCGAAGGCGGGAAACCAGGAAACTCCACTCCTTACTTCACAGTCCTGCCAGCCGTCTCACAGTGCGAGGCAAAAATGGAGGAACACTGAATAAATGGAAGTCAGGAGAACTTCCAGGAATCGCGCACTTAGCCCTCAAACGATGGTGTACACTAGAATGAGCCTTTTCTGTCCCCGCACCCCAGCCCGCCAGCTGAATCTCTAAGGGTGAGGCCCAAATTTTTGAAACAGTCCTTACGGGTGTACTTTGGCCTCAAAGTTGGTAAAATAACCTGGCTTGAGTTTAAAAGCCTGCTCCCCTTGGGACCTAAACCGGAGATTTCTTTATCTGCAACCAACAGAGAATACTCTAGAGGGCTGTTCTTCGCCTATGCTGATTCGCTGAACAGGTAGCAGAAACCCCAGGGCACACTCCACATAGGACCTGATGCTGGAACGGCCACAGGACCCAAGCCCTTTGGAGCCTCCGTTTATCGACTATCAGAGGAGGATGCGTTGCGAAGAAGCACGAGTGGGAGGGAGTGGGAACTCAGTGCCTGTTAGCTGATTCACTCAACCAACCTGTACCGCTCCCACCCCTGGGCTTGGTGCTGGGACAGCGAGGACGGGGAGAGGGTCCTGCCTCACAGGATTAAAACAGCCAAAGGGCTGTGGGTACAAGGGGGACAGGGCAGGTGTTCTGCCTCTTGGGGGAGGCCTTGAAGGGGAAGGTGTAGCAATTATTCAATAAATACATGCTGATTTATTAGAGGGATAAGATGGTTTATTGGGGGATAAATTCAAGAGGAGTCGAGAATGTTTTATTCATTTACAATGTCCCTTTCCTGGAAGGAAGGATAGCAAGATTTAGGACAAGCTAAAATCATTCCCTATTTAAACAAAAAAAAAAAAAAAAAAAAAGGCACCCCCCCAAGTAGTCCCAGGTGGGGGGTAGGGGCAGAATAAAAAAAAAAAAATCTGCAATGATTCCTAATTGTTTTTGAATACAGAAGCTTGGGAAGGGGTTTCCGCCAGTTTCATGAGGAAGGCACAACTTCCAGGTAGTGTTGGGGGGGAAGGGCATAAGGTCCTATGCAGGCTGGCCCCTTATCCCACAGATGCCAAGATGATGTCTACTGGCAGCTCCTCCAAACTTCTGGCTGTCACCTGCATTGTCACTGTGTCCAAAAGCAGCAGCCGGGAGCGCACCAGGATGTCATGACCACCCCGGAACACACCTAGAAGGGAAGACAGAAGTACAGGTATATAGAGCAGAAGGGACTGTACAGGGCAGGCTAAGGATGGCATTTGCAGCAGCCCATCAAGACAGCTGTGGTGTAGTGAAATGGGCAGGAGAGCTGGGCTGAAATCTCTGAGTCAGGGATTTCACTGTGAAAGTCACTGACTCTCGGCTGGGCGCGGTGGCTCACACTTGTAATTCCAGCACTTTGGGGGGCCGAGGATCATGAGGTCAGGAGTTCGAGACCAGCCTGGCCAACACAGTGAAACCCCATCTCTACTAAAAATACAAAAATTAGCTGGGCATGGTGGTAGGCGCCTGAAATCCCAGCTACTCGGGAGGCTGAGGCAGGAGAATCACTTGAACCTGGGAGGCGGAGGTTGCAGCGAGCAGAGATTGTGCCACTGCACTCCAGCCTGGGTGACACAGCTAGACTCCATCTCAAAAAAAAAAAAAAAAAAGTCACTGTCTCTCTGGGCTTCGGTATCCTCAACTACAAAACGGCGGGGATGATAATACCATATTCAGGCTTCTGCTAAGTTCAAATGAATTGATGGACATAAAAGGCTCGTATCTGACGTCACATAGGCTCTTGCATGTTGGCTGAATCTGACAGCACAAATGAAGGGGACAGCCCCACCACGGGAAAACCACAGGGCAGGTGTCTGCAAGACCCAGGGGACTGGGTTGTTTCAATGTGGCTACAAACTGTCAGCTGTAGACAGGGTACTGAAGCAGAGCCTCCTTTCAACCCTGTTTATAAACACTTAGCCAAAAAAAATCATCCCATTTCCTTTTGTTAACTGTTTTAGGTATGATAATTGTATTGTCCTTTAAAAAAGGGCAGGGGTCATTATCTCTTAGAGAAACATAAAGATACAGAAGAATTTACATATAAAATGCTATTTCTGGAGTTTGCTAGTAAGTAATCTGGGAAGGAGAATGAGTGCAGGTACACTCAGCCAACCCTGTAGAAAATAAGACAAAGGATATGAAGACAGTGATCAGAAAAGGAAATACAAATGCCTCAACATTTGAGAAGATACTTAACTTCAATGAAAATACAAAAACTACACTAAGATATCATTGTCCACACAGACTGGCAAAGATCATAAAGTGTGGTAACATACTGTGTTGTCCACAGTGTAGGAAAAAAGGTATACAATTCTATGAAAGGCAACTTGGAGTTATTTATCAAGATGAGAAACACAAATCACTTTGACCTGGTGATGCCTTGGAAAATTTATCCTACAGATATTCTCAGTGTACACATGCAAAGTAAATTGTGTGTGTGTGTACACGATTATTTACTGTAACATCTGTAATAGCAACAGATTGAAATCAAACTAAATGTTCATCAGTAGCGGCTGTTCCATAGAATATGTGGTGCATCCACACAATGGAATACTAAGCAGCTATTAAAAAAAAAAAAAAAAAAAAAGGATTCAGTTTGGGATGAAAAAAGTTCTGGAGATGGATAGTGGTCATAGTTTTACAATAGTGTGAATGTACTTAATGCCGCTGAACCACACACTTCAAAATGGCTGAAATGGTGAATTTTATGTATATTTTACCACAATTAAAAGAAAAAGAATGAGGAAGCTCTACATATTGGCAGGAAAGATCTCTTAAGATGCATCGTAAAGTGAAAAGCAAATTGCAGGACAATATACTATTTGTACATAAACATTTGAGTTAAAAAAAGGAAATGTGTTCCTATTAGCTTTTATAGCAATAAAATAACTGCAAGGTTATACAGGCATTGTTTGTAATAGTAACACTGGTCGTTTCTTGGAAGGGAATCTCAATGGCTGGCAGCCAAGGTAAGGAGGAAACATTTCGCTGCAGATTATTTTATAGTTAGCGAATTTTAAATGCTGTGAATTTTGACTCCCCGTATTTACAGTTAAGTCCTTAGCCCAGGATCCAGTGGACATCCAGCCTGTAAGCTATCCAGGCCCTCCCCACCTGGAAATGCCACTTACCAGCCAGAAGCAACGTGTGGGTGTTCTTGTTATCCGGCACTTTGTCTGACCTCTCACAAGGGTGCATTCCCAAGAACTTCACAATATTACCCACAGCCTCTATAGCGAGAAATCCCAATATTGTTAAGCCATCTTGTCTGCCCTTTGTGCCACCACCACTCCCCCATGTTCTAAAGGGCTTTTAATGAAATGGCATTTGACATATGTGCTCCAGACATGGCCCTGGATCCTTGGAGAGAAAAGGTATGAGCACTTCAACAGTACCCAAAGATCTTGAACGGCAAGTAGGCCAGAGGTGGCATTCCCAGGATTTTACCTTCAAGTGTCTTGATGGTAGACAAGGTGAATGTTTCCTCCTTCTCAAATTCATCCCCTACCTCATCCCAGGCTGCTTCGAAGTTCAGTTTCATGACCTTTTGAATGTGATCAGCTACAGTAACTTCCAAATCTTCCAGCTGGAGAGATGGAGATAGAAATCAAGCACCCATCCACACACTCTGCTCTGAACTCATCCACACATCACTTCCTGCAACTCTTTCTGCAGGTGCTTGCTCGGCACTGAGGACTGTGCTAGACTCTGGGGACACAGAACAACTTGACCAGGTACCTATCCTTGAGGTGCCCACAGGCAAGTGGTATCCCTTCAACAGAAAATGCCCTAATCCCAAGTACCAGTCTACTAACTCATCCTAGAGCTGCCTGCTGTGAGATCACATCTCTTCTAAGCCTGCCTAGTGTCAGTGCTTCCAGGATCTGGCATACAGGGAATTACATAGCATTCTCAGAGGTCTGCTTCCTATGCCTGTCATTTCTAGGGGATGATGAGCTCTTCAGGAGCAGCAGCTGTTTCTAGTTCAGCAGAAACCTCCTACCCCAGCTGTGTCCTCTGGATTTGACAGATCCTGAATCTCTGTCTCCATTTCAGCTGTGTCTTCTCTGAACTTGACACATAATACTCCCACTGAGTCTACATGAAGGTTCCCCATTCGTTCTCCCATCAGATTTTCACTGAGGCCGTACTCCTGTGGATGTTTACAGTGTATATAAATACAACTTCGACCCAGCTCTTTTTTTTTTTTTTTCTATCATCTCTGGGTGGGCTCAAACAGACCCAGCTCTCTCAAGGAGCTCACTTGGTCTTAAAGCAGCTCCTGCCTCAGGGTCATTTCCAGCTTAAGGAAGGTCCATCCATCCTCAGCTGTGACTCTAGGATGACACAATGGCAAATGTCAGCTGTATTCCACCATGACTGTCCCTCTAGTCAGGAGGAGTTCTAACAATCCCCATCCACAGGCTGAGCATAATGGTCTGCACTCAGATGGCCCTGAGCCACTGCCCCAAGGTCAGACCCCAGAAGGATCCTGTACTTAGTTCCATCGAGCTAAGATAGGAGAATTTAGAAGGGCTATTCCAGTGCATGAAAGGACTGCCCAGCACAGCAAACAGGTCAAATGTATCCAGAAAGCATTTAACAAAAGGAATCAAAATGTCTTAAGATCATGCTTACCCTTTGACCCAATTATTCTCCTTCTAGGAATCTATCCTAAAGAAATAATCTAAAATGCAGATAAAAATTTGTATCTAAAGGGATATTTAGTGCAGCATTATAAATAGTGAAAATATGGAAACCCAAATGCCCAACATTCAAGGAGTGAAAGGTCAATCAAGTTTTGACATAATATATAACAGTATTTTAAATCCACTAAAAAAAATTGTGTTTATGAAGTATTTGTAATGACACTGGAAAATACACTATGGTTTTAAAATAGCAAGGTTTACATTATAAGAATGATTCCAATTATACCACTGCCCCCCAAAAGTAACTCTGAAGATTATGAGTAATGTTTTCCTGTTGTTCATACTTTTGTTTTGTATTTTGTTTTTGTATTTCCCAAGTTTTCTTTTTACACATGAACATGTATTTCCATAAGTTTAAAAACTTATTTTAGGCCAGGCGCAGTGGCTCACGCCTGTAATCCCAACACTTTGGGAGGCCAAGGTAGGTGTATCACCTGAGGCGAGGAGTTCGCGACCAGCCTAGCCAACATGGTGAAACCCTGTCTCTACTAAAAATACAAAAAATTAGGCAGGCATGGTGGCGGGCGCCTGTAATACCAGCTACTCGGGAGGCTGAGGCAAAAGAATCACTTGGACTCGGGAGGCAGAGGTTGCAGTGAGCTGAGATTGCGCCATTGCACTCCAGCCTGGGTAACAAGAGAGAAACTTCATCTCAAAAAATAAAATAATAAAATAAAATTTTAAAGAGCTAAAAAGTCAAAAACAGCTCCAGTCTATCTGTCAGTTCCTGAAGGGAGTTGCTTTGCAGCCTCAGCACAAAACTGAGCTTCCTGACACCAGGCTCTTACCACATACTCATCCTCATAGCCTTCGTCATCGGTCTCCCCAGTGGTGGGATCACAGTCCTTGACAGTGAACTTCATCATGCAGCTGAATGTGCAGGCCACTGTGGGGAAGAGAGACTGGGTAGTTAGGAAGTCCCCAGACTGCAGGGGACGGGCTCCTCCTGCAGGGAACAAGCAGGCAGGGGTCACAGCCTGCTTTCTAGGCCACTGCTATGTTATTAGTAGCAGCAACAAGCCATACAATCCTACAAAGCTGGACAGAGGGCGCCACCTTGTAGGACAGGAAAGTCAAGTCATGAGTTCTAGTGAGA